AAGTTATCTTAATTTTACCTCCTCACAGGTTATAGTTGCATTAACACCACCCTCAGAGCATGCAAATACTGCCATTGCCGTGCCTTGTCCAGTTCTCCTTCGCCCGTTCCGCGTGTCTTCTCTCTTCTTCTTCTCCTTTTTTTTCGGTTGTCTTCTTTTGTGGTACACTCAAAACATTGCAAAATAATAGAACATGAGATACGAACAATAAATTCCTCAACACCCATATAAAACGGTTATAACACTGTGCAACTGCATATTTCAACCCATCACAACAAACCATGAATTTCCTAATGATCCACCATGTGACGAAAACAAACACCCCAATGCATCACCACAAAGACAAAACACGCTCTGGCCAACAAAAGAAACCAACACTCTGATTCTGTGAATAACCAGATTACTACATGTGCCTGTGTCTCTGTGTCTGGCGCCAGCACTCCTGCCTTCCTCGCTGTGACACTGCTTCACAGGATGATAGGATGCAATGCACTTCTTTTATTAAGACATAGAGCTTGTGTCAACCTCTGTCTCTAACTTATTGTCTGACTTGAAGCAATAATGGCAGACCTTGCGGCTGTATGGATTTTTAATAGCATGTTGTAATAGCCATCGTGAACAGTGTGGCAGATTTACAGCCTTGTACCGACTGAGGTTCATACTGAGACCTAAGGAGTCTGATGTGAATATTGCAAACAGAGGGACGAGGAAGGTCACACTTGTTTTTGGTTTAGTGTTTACCAGAGGGAAATGCTAGCGTGCTTATTACTCATAAAAGCACTTTTTTTAAAGAGGGTACTTCAATTAAATGGCTTGCTGCCTCTAGCGTGTGTCCTGCTTTGTTCTTAAAGTAGCTTGAAACATATTTAAATAGAAACATATTTAACTGCAGGAAACACAGTCGTGAGTACTCCCAAAAACCACAAACAAAGCTCTCTACTGTACATGTTGAAGAATTCACAGTTAATGTTTTAGATGAAAAATGTTATAGAGGAGGATTTCTTTTAGTAAAGTAGAACCTTAAATTCACCATTCTCCCCCCGCAGTATACACACATGTATGACAAACATCCCTATATCACCATACGTTGGAAGATGTACATGCATGTACAATTTGCACTGATGTTCTAAACAAGTAAACAATAAAGTACAGAATGAGTGACCACTGTAACAGAGTTAAAAACAAACCAAACATTGACATGATCACTACTCTGGGACTCCCTATGACCCTGAACAAGATGAATGGAAAACGAGATGAAGAAAACAAACACATACTACATTTCCCTGGCGTAAACATGAAATTTTACAGTGTTTATCATTATTTTATAGATTAACCAATTAAAATATTATTGGAGTTTAAAAGATAGAACCTAAAGTTTATTTAATTGCCACTGAAATGCAGATTTAGTTGGGATTCATTTAACGGGTCACACCTAATTTCTCTGCCTGTTATATTCCATCTCATATTTAATTTGTCTGCTTTAACATTTACAGTAGTTTCTACTGTGGGATCACTTTAATTGAAAGACATCTCTCTTTAATGTAAAAACGTCTTAGCAGTGTGCCACATAAAAAGTAACCAAAGATTAATCTACAGAGCAACAGCTTGAGCTCTGATTGGCCAGATGCTACATGTCGGTAGGAGTCTGGCCCATCACAGCCCCTACACAAACACAAGAAGTTTCTACTTATTCCAGTGAAACACTCAAGCTTTACAATACTAACCTCGAAAGTGAATATTAAGAGAAGGAGACAGAGAAAAAGATGCTATGATTAATATTATTATTACATTTTACTTCCATTTATTACTATAAAGAATATGAACTTGGGATCAAAAGCATCTGTATGCATTCAGAGTAGTTTTCAGAATCAAATACTTAAGATGGCCTTAAAAATAGCTGGACAATGGTCTGTGATGACCCTCTGGAGAGTGTATGAAAGGATGGAGGCTACTGATGCTGTAAACCCACAGTATTCCCTGTGCACTGCCTCAGAAAACCTCAGCATGTGGTTCCACTCAGAGTATAATGAGTGTCATTTACCCACGACATGATAGTAGCAGAAGACCGAACAGCTTGGTCTCTAAACCACCATCCTCTCACATCAAACCATGGTTCACACAGAACAGGATATCTACTGGCAAAGGAACGGCTTCTTGGGTTTTAACCCCCAGAGGATGCCTATATGTGGACGGAATGTTCTCTGATCAAACGTGACTTCCGTTATTTATTTTCTTTACATTCTTACAATACATACGGTACATACACACACCTACACACACATTATATACAGTATATATATGTGTATACTTTTTTTTTTTATTTTTTACAAGTCAGAGTAGCGCCATCATTAGCACTCTGGAGTCTGAAGTTTTGTTGTGCATTTGCAGCCACCCCTTCCTCCTTCCAATCTTGATTAGTTTCTCCAGCTAATGGAGAATTTCCTGAGTAAAAAAAAAAAAAAAAACTCACAGGAGGCATCTATAAACATCTGATGTACAGTGATGCAAACTGCCCCGAAGGTGTGACCTGTGAAACGAATCCCAACTAAATCTGGATTTCAGCAGTAGGCCTTAAACATATAGGATCATGAACATAAAACAGATTGTGCACTTACATGAAAACAGTAGTCTTTCTTAAATGGAACAGCTTGACCTCTTTCATTTGTGTTTACATTCATGCCATTGGCTCCTGTTCTACATTTGTTTGACAAGACAAAGGCATCAAATGATCCGTTTCTCCCTCTGGTAAGGCGCTGTTGGGCACTTCAGCAAATGTAAACATTTTGAGGAGCCACTCAATTAAAAAACATCCACAGCTACAGTAGAGTTTTAAACAAATGGCCTCAGTACTATTGAATATGAGCAAACTCTGATGTCTGCAAAATTTTGATCCTTAGGCTTTTGCCATTGGCAATGAGTAGTAGAATGATTGTGTGGACTTTTCCAAGCATGTGAGTACTGGCAAAGAGCAGATGGACTGTGCTGTGAATTGTAATGTAAGCTTATAAAGGCCAGATGACTGCCACGGTTCAGGTCTTCAGTATAAGGTGTTGGTCTTAAAGAAATATCAGAGGTTTTTGAATGCAAGCTGATTAGAACACATCATCTGTGACATTTCCATAGAAAGGAGGGAAACATTGCCAGGTTACAGTATATGTGGATAGCATGTAATGTAATAAATAAACAAACTTCTCTGATGATTTTAAGCCACCACAAAGTGAGCAAACCCTGCACTGTTCTGCACACTGTAAATTGGGTTTTCTTTCAGGGAAATATACAGCTCATGTCAAATATATCTCAAGTAACAACTCATTTCAAACAAAGCAGGGAGCAGGCAAGAGCGTTGCAGACATTTTAGTGACATATGGTAGGACCATCTGAAGCATCTGCACATGTTAACATACAAAATGTTGCATGACTAACAGATCAGACATCACACGCTTGGCCTTAAAATGCATCATATGTAAGAAAATTCACAAGCTATTATTCAACAACAATAGTCTTCTCGGTTGTACCTAGTGCCTGTAAAAAAATTATTCTTGCAAATAACTTATGTAACAGTTGATTCCACTATCCACAACATAACTTGCGATAGCTGCCACGCTTGAATGGACTAGAACCGGGTTCAGATCCACCAATCTTCTCTCTCATGCAATGACAAAAAGTTCCATTGCGGTATAGAAATGCAATTAGATACGGCCCCTTGGTCATCGAGTAAATACAACATTTGTTTTGCTTTTGACTGCTTTTTCTTTTGTGAATACACTGAAAACTCCACAACTTCCTGTCAGATAAGTGACAAAATGATCAAATAAATAAACACATATAGACACACACACACACACACACACACACACACACACAAAACACAGTTTGATTAAAAATCTGATTCTCTCTCAAAACTGTTTTAGGAGTGACTTTTATTAACAAATACTGATACAAACATTCCCACAGGGTGAATGCATGTCCAATATTCACTAACTTTTCAATAAAAGAATCACAGTGAAAAAAAAACAACATATATATATATATATATATTCACTGAAATATTCAGGGAAAAAAATCAGCGCTGCAAATGCTGCATAACTGCCAACAAATAAGTAAATTCCCATGTGAGTACTCCCTTGATTTTACTTTCATGAAGTACAAGTAAAATGCAAAGTGGGAATAAATGTGGAGCAATCACAGCTGCAGTTGTAGAGCTGATCAGACCAAAGATGGAGCTGCTTGGTGACAAGACAGCTTCGCACCGCTGCAGAGCGCTGGATATCTGAAGTGAATCACATGGAAGGCATTTGCCTGATTGTTCCTCTTCAGTGCACTGGTTTGAGTAATGGTGAGATAGTGATCTATTATTTTCTTTTACAGCTTTGAGTCAAAGCGAGGGCACTTATTTCCCGTTCTCTGGAGTTGTGGGTGCCTCGTGCCTTGTGGCTGGCGAAGTTGACCACAAACTGTATTACAAACAAATGTTTAGATTTGTATATTTAAAGTGAAGATAATGAATTATTATTATTAATTAAATGGCTAAACTCACCAAAGTAATCCAATATTTTTATGTTTACCGCAAAGCTGGTTTTCAAGTGAATGATCAAGCATGTTGTTGATCCTTGGAAGTGTATGTTTGACATAATCCAACATCATTTGACAGAAATTTTACTGCACTGAGGTAGGACTAGTTTTTTTTGCCTATAGTTATATACTACCAGTCAAATGTTTAGACACACTTTTCCACTGAACTGAACTGGGAAAGTGTGTCCAGACATTTGACTGTTGGTGTATGTCTGTGTATGTGATTGTTCACATGTGTAATTCTATTAGGGTATGACTTGGCAGACAGGCACACTTGTTAACTCCGCCCCTCTGCATTCAGACAGGGTGTGATTAGAGCCAATACAGTCTTAGGCAACCTGTGCTGAGAGAGAGAGAGAGAGAGAGTAAAAGAAAGAGTGGCCAGCCACCCCAGTGCACTCTGGTGGTTCTTGCAACAGCGTCAATGTTTGCTTGATCTCCAGACAGTCCAACTGTGGCATTCTGGCTCATGCACGATTCAACAACGCTAACTCCCAGTGGATGTTTTTAAATGGACACAACTAGGTTTTTTTCTCCAAAAGTTTTTTCCTCCACTTGATATTTCAACATTTTTTCCTTGGATTGACGAAAGCACTGTAGGTGCGTGAACTAATATTGTTTCAGCTTTGTTGACAGTTTGGATACATCTTTTTGGAGATCATGTTGTTGTTGCCAACACCAGAAGAATTTCCACAAACAATCATCTCTTAGGAAACATGGAGAGCCGCTATTGCCTTTTGAACACTGCCAAACAAGACTCCCAGGATGTTAAACGTAAGCAATAACTGCAAGGAATGACTGTTATTTAGTATGGAAAACATAATCAACTTTTTATTTTGAGGAGATTTATGATGCTTGTAAGAAGTGAAGATTCTTCAGTTTTGTTAACTTTGACGTGAAAAACACACTTCCAGTTTCTTCTGACTGAGCTGTGCTGGTAAATAATGGATGGCAATCTGAGCACGTCAACATCCTTGGTGGTCAACCTAACAAAACCTTATCATGATGCAGCAGGACCCTGGAGCCTCATCCTATTGGTCATCATCATACTGACCATAGTGGTGGGAAACCTGCTGGTCATTATTACTATAGCCCGCACTTTGCAGCTCCAGACCACGACAAACATCTTCATTACGTCCCTGGCATGTGCAGATCTCATCATGGGCATCCTCGTAGTACCACTGGGGGCCACAATTGTGGTGACAGGCAACTGGCAGCTCAGTAACACATTCTGTGAGTTCTGGACTTCTGTGGATGTCCTGTGTGTGACGGCGAGCATCGAGACGCTCTGTGTCATAGCAGTGGACCGATACATAGCCATTACAAGGCCGCTCCGACACAAGGTTCTACTCAGCAAGTGGCGTGCCAGAGCAATAGTTTGTTTAGTGTGGGTTGTCTCTGCCCTAATTTCCTTTGTGCCGATTATGAAAGGTTACTGGCGTGCAGCAGAGGAGCCTGAAGCACAGAAGTGCTACAATGATCCTGCATGCTGTGACTTTGTGACCAACTGGGCCTTTGCTATCATATCTTCTATAGTGTCCTTTTACATTCCACTGGTCATAATGATATTTGTGTATGCAAAAGTCTTTCTAATAGCAACACGGCAGGTCCAGCTCATAGGTATGAATCGCATGCGTTTCCAGAATGAGGGTCCAGCAGCACAAGTGCCAGTTGGCCCTCACAGCAACAATATCCTGTCATCGGGGTGTGCGAGTTCCAGCGGCTGCAGCAGTGCACTGAAGAGAAAGAGCACCAGGAGGAGGCCATCACGGCTAATGCTCGTCAAAGAGCACAAGGCCCTCAAGACTCTGGGTATCATCATGGGGGCGTTCACTGTGTGTTGGCTGCCATTCTTTGTCGCCAACATCATCAACGCTTTTAACAGAGATGTTCCCTCTGAGAAGATTTTCCGACTGTTAAACTGGCTGGGTTACATCAACTCTGGCCTCAATCCTATCATCTACTGCAGGAGTCAAGAGTTTCGTATTGCATTCAAGAACCTGCTGTGCTGCCCATGGCTGTCCACCCTGAGGCTCAATACTTTCTATAAAGAACTGCGGACTCGCTGCTCTTGTTTTCTGTGGCAAGCTGAATCGGGCACTGCTGGTTCCTTCCAAAAATCTCCAGCCTGTAAGACTGAGAGAGAAGAGAGCCTCACCAGTGCACAGGAAAGCAGCAGAAGTGAGACAACTTCCTCTGCCCCTCTGCAGTGGAACGGCAGCACACAGTTCAGTGACTTATCAGACCCAGAAACCAAATTGTAAGTTCCTTTGTCTTATCTTTTTTCCACATACAGTTCGTTCTTAACTATGATGAACATTTAAAAAAAAACAGTCCACTTTCTACACAAATATTTCTCCCTATTCAGGTACAGAGTGAAGTCAGAGTATAATTTTGACAGCTCATGCACACCTACTGACAGTCAACACAGTAGACACTATTGTTCACGGCAACACACCTACCAGCCTCAGTGGCAACATGCTGGTTTTACACAGTGTTTTAACCTTTTAATTGATAATATAATTACATTAAATCATTTTACTACTACCTCTGTATACTATATTTATTATGTTATGCAATCTTATAAGAGAGTAGCCTGTAGACTTTTGTTCAAATCACTATGAAAGTGAAAGGACAGAGCACAGAGCTACGCATTACATCAGTGATCTGTCATGTGACTTGTAAGTGGCTCATTCACAGTGTGAAGACTTTCAGTGTAGAATCAGTGTCATGGAGAATCAAACAAGTTATGTTGTCGACTGCTTCTGGACATCGTGTTGTGGTTTAACAGAGTATTGCACAGTGATAAGAACAGAAACACATGTGTACTGTGTTTCATTTTGACAAATTATGTTTACAAACTAAATAATCAAGACGAAAAAGCTAAAAGCTAATGATAATAAAATGATAGTTTTCTAACAACTTCTAGTATCCACTACATGCCACTGATTTTTCATGGAAATATGAAGTTTTAAACCTATTTTAAACAAGCTTGAATCAGGCATCAAATGCTAAACAGTGTCATTTTACATTGTATTGTGCTTGCTATTTATAACTTCATGAGTGACATACAGTATGCACAGTACAACATGTACTAGACAATCAGGCTTTTAAATATAATTAATCTATACTTAGGAATACAGACTTATCTATATATAAATTTGGAATTCACTAAAAAACAGTTGTTTTATTCCCCACTGTGCACTCAGTGGAAGTCGAGATCCATATTTAGACATCCTCCAATACGTCAGTTTGCTGCTGCCTGGGAGCAGAACCGATTTGAGTGGAACAGTGCAGGAAAAGAAATCATTTCAGAATCACTGGATACTTTTGGGTTGTTACAGTATTACAAAAGTAAAAGTGAAACTTAATATTTGGATTTCCATTCATGATTCAATAAAGATTTGATAACTATGTTACTTTTGATCGAACTGACACAGCCGATGTCAATGTAGTAAAACCTAACAGATGTCCACATTACACTGCTTGGTACAGTGTTTGGAGTGCGTACTAGGATGTTTTTAGCACACAAGTTAACAGTGTCATTAAATTATTTTGTATTTTTAGAAACCTCCATACTTTAAATGATTGTTTGTTAATGTCATTATCATATATCTGAACAAACAGTGTCCCGTAGTGGCAAAGATAACTGTGAGGTCAGTCTGTAAAACCACAAGCGGTGTCTAAGGCTGATTCAGAGAATTGCGTGAGACATTTGGGGACATTTCCAAATACCAGCATGACTCCCTGCCTGTCATTAGGTCTCTGTGTGTCCTGCCCAACACTCACCTCCACAGCAGCTAAATCTTTATCGGTTATACACAAGATGGGCCCCATAACTGAAGAGGCTGTTTACGAGACAGCCAATGAGAACACCCTCATTAACAGGTTAGCTGGGGTTGGATGGCAGAATATTTAATTCATCAATACGCTAATGCACAACCACAAGTGGAGAGCAAGCCCTTCACAGAACACAGGAAGACACATAGAACTATAAAAGATTTATAATAATTCATAATTATAAAACTGTAGAAAGTTTTTAGATACTTTATGTAGTAATACTGATGTACAATCTAAGAATCGGTTCATTTATGTAAGTAATTAATATCTGCTGTAAGTTATTAAATTAAAATTTATAGATGAAATCTCTTTCAAAAAACAAAAGATTGTCATCTGAACTCCAAATATTTCACATTCAGTTCCCAGAGTGCTTTGTGTTTGTTGCAACATCACTTCCAGATGTTATTACAATACAGTTTTAAAAGCCAAATGGGACCAAGAATATACTTTAGAAGTATAATTGTTCAAAATGTAATAACTTCTAATAGCACCACTATGTTGCCACAAACTGAGAGCTTTTGTGTGAGTTGCATAGTGTATATGAATGTCTATGAACATACTGTATGCACAGTAAGTGTTTGAAACTAGAAAATTCAGATTGTAATCCACACATTTAACTTCAGTACTGTCACTATAAGTATTTCAGAACATAAAATTTTAATTCCCTACTCATAATTCACGTGGCACCGCAGCCTTTGCTTTGGCATGTGAATTCCCAGGAGTAACCAAGTTTTATGACAGAAGGATGTTTCTTTTTAAATATTTACTCAGCACACTATATATCATTTTTCTCTTCTCTGTGCCGGCCGTCTCCTGGGTAGAATTTTACAGACATAATCAATGGAGCTGTAAATCAGGAGACATTTAGGAGCATATAAAAGTCTTCCTTAAAAGGAGCTTGGTGTGTTCTGTAGGAAATCACCCTAAGGAAAAGGCTCAGCAGGCTCACCCGGCACTTTGAACAAGATTGTAAACATAAGTGAGACCAGCCGCTCCAGAATGACTCTGATGAGGCCACGGCTCAAAGTTGGGTTTAATGAAGGGATATGACAGTCTGGACTGCTGAAGTTGTGCTAATCATGTCATGCTAAGCATTTGCCTGACCGTTTGCTCCACAGTCCTCACTGTCACCGTTTTCTATGTCTATTTAGCTAGCAACACCTAGGACAACATGCGACAGCAGGGTTGAATAAGTCAGAGGCCGATGTATCCCAGGGCTGATAAAAAGCAAGGTAGTGACATAAATCGTTACTAGGGACGGGTGGCTGCCCAACACTGCACAGAATAGCCATTATCAATAGTTGGCTTGTTTTCATTGAACTAATGCAGGCATGTCTGCTGCCCTTATCAACATCCACAGCTGTCTTGGGCTTCTATCACGTATGCACCATGTTATATTGCAAGTGCAATATGTCACAGATTCCTTGCATAACAGCATTTCAATTCATTTTTCCTGATGACAAATCTAGATGTTTTTAGACATCCAACTGGAAGTTGTGCAGCTCATGTGACTTTAGAATTAATGAAGGTTTAGCGGTGACTTCTTTTGTTTTTGTCAGTCATGTAGCCCTGAAGTGAGACAGCCTGCTTCTGCATTAGTCTTATGTATTGAAGGAATTTAAGACAAAGAAATGTAGTCTAAAGGCACAGCTGTGTGTTATGATCAGGGGGAGTTTGTTAGTACAGTTTATCCATGACAGAACTAACAGAGGGTGGAATATTTTATTTTGAACAGCAGCAGTGGACTAGGTTGTGGACTCCGTTAGGTGTCTGACAGACTGGTTTAGAAACATGGTCACAAACCCCCTCTTGCAGATGGACACAGGACTACTATTCCTGCAGCATGACAGTACAGGATTCGTGAAAGCATAAAACAACATCATTATTATACAGCTCCTATGCAACAGACATGAGAAATCCACTTGTGAACATGTAGTTGAGTAATAGCTCTATATCTCCCATTCTAGAACAACTATAGCAGGATAAACATTAATAAAGGAACACATACAACAGACACTAATGGCACAGTATGGGGACATGAAATCAGTCCAGATCGGAGTCTAGAATTAGCTCTTAAGCAACATCTGATGGGACACAATAAGCACAGTGGAATTTTTCATTGGCCGCTCACAAAAGAGCTCATAATTCAAATAAATACAGTAAATATAGTATAGGTTTAGATATATGTTCTTACTCTCATCTCGTTAAGGTAGGACTGTTAACGGAGCACAAATAAGCAGACATCACACAAAGTACAGAGAGATGGTCAAGAAGGACATTTTAGTGGCTCATTATGCCAAATGATTGTGTAAATAATTCAGATATTTTAGTTGACAGCTCATATGGACAATCTGAAAGGCCATTGTGTTTATATGCCAGGCATTTCAGGTTTATACCGTGACAGTGTATTACTGGTACAAACTGCATCATTATGCTGACAGAACAAGAAGATATAGCTATATTTCCTACACAGACAAAGTGTCTAAAGCTGAATTAATGGACACTTTGTTAGTGTCAAAACAGAGCATGCAGTAAATATGGAGGACAATTTTAAAGAAGCTAGTTTTAATGTATCATGTTCTGGGGTGCAAGCTGGGTGTTAAACACTTGCTGCAGAGCCTCTGATTGCCAAAGCAGCCTGAACTCTGGTGTTGTAAGTTAAGTTGCTGCAGTGAACATACTCTATCGTTGGGGATGCATTCAAGCACACTTATGTTTTGATGGCGTCTTGGGACAAGCCCACTAATGCTTTTTTCCTGTGCTGTCAACCCTGTAATTCTGAGCTTGTTTCTGCTGTAACAGCAACTTTGTGTCACACACCGACTTCCATAATGTGCATTTAGTTAGTTTAGAGTGAGATCAGGCCAAAGAAAGAATAAAAAGGGGGCAGGATAAAACAAAACATGGTGGTTTTGACCTGAGGGAAACCTCCAACAAGTCTGGCAGACATCAGAGCCAAACATACTGTACCATGGTCTTTAAATGGAGGGATCCAGGAGGTGAACAAGCACTCCAGTATAACTCTGAGTTGTTAATGTCTGCACAGATAAAAGGCAATAAACAGTAACCGGATGTTCTTCTGCTTATCCCCACACTGACACTGACTATAAACTAGGACTAGAAACAGTGGAGTACATTAAAAGCTGCAGAATTCAAGATATCAATACTCTAATGCTATAGAATGCAAGGATAGTAAAGATTTAAATAAGAATATTTATGTCTGAATTCCAAAACTGTTGGTAACTTTGAATGAATTCAAGTCTGTTTTACTGTATAGCTTCACTGTTCATATTGACTTATAATTTGAAAGATAGGCACTAGGCAGGGCACTATTATCTAAAACTTGTGTAACAACAACCTTAAGTGTTAGCATATTTTAACTGCATCATTAAATGAGAGTTTCTTTCTTGTGCTGTCAGGATTAATTACAGAAAGACAAATTGTAGCAACTGTGGGTGGACTTTACGCTGAATAGTTGGTTGAATGTCTGATTATATGTTGTGGAAGACAATGTCCTTGTGTCTGGTTGTTTTGGCGTACAGTGACCTGTTTTACTGCTACGCTGCCCAGAGGGGAGGAGTTCAAACAGTTTGTGTCCAGGGTGCGAGGGGTCTGCTGAGATCTTGTACAGGTCCTCCATGGAGGACAGGCTGGCATCGATGATTCTTCCTGCAGTCCTGACTGTTTGCTAGAGTTTGTTCCTGTCCTGTTTGCTTGTTGAACCAAACCAGACAATGATGGATGAGTAGAGAACAGAGTCAGTGATTTCTCTGTAGAACTGTATCAGCAGCTCCTGGGGCAGGTTGAACTTCCTGAGCTGGTGCAGGAAGTACATCCTCTGCTGTGCCTTCTTGGTGATGGTGCTGATGTTGGATGTCCACTTCAGGCAGTGGAGCCCAGGAACTAGAAGGACTTTACTGCTGATACAGTGCTGTCAAGTAGGGTGGTGGTGGGAGGGCTCTTCCTAAAGGTAGCACTTAATCACAGTAAGTTAAACTTCAAAGACATCAATCTGTCCATTTAGGAGGCACGAGTGATTGTGAATCAGTTTCACCAGCTTTGGGGCAAATGAAAGTGATGACAGGTGAAATGGAGAGGTAAAAGCAAGACAACCCCAAAAAAGGGAATTTACATGTTGTGGCCACAGACAAATGCTCTCTCCTTATCCTTTCTGACTGATTCTTCTCAAATTTTTGCATTTTGCTAGTGTCCTTGTCACTACTGGTAGCATGAGGCAGTACCTGCAGCCCAATCAGTTGGTAAGGGTGGTCCAGTTACTCCATGATGGCACATTCATAAGTACAGTTGCAAGAAGGTTTGTTGCATCTCCCAGCACAACCTTAAGAGCATATAGAGATACCAGGAGACCGGCCATTACATCAGCAGAGCTGGACAGGGCTGTAGAAGGGCAACAACCCAGCAGCAGCAGGGTCGTTATCTGCTCCTTTGTGCAAGGAGGAACAGGAGGAGCACTGTGAGAGCCCTACAAAAGATCTCCAGCAGCTACGAGTGTGGATATTTCTGAGCAAACTGTCAGAAACAGACTCCATGAGGGCCTGATGTCCTCTAGTACGACCTGTGCTCACAGCCCAGCACCGTGTGGCTTGTTTGGCATTCGCCAGAGAACACCAGAATTGTCAGGGCTGCCATTGGTGACACGTTCTCTTCACAGACGAGAGCAGGTCCACACTGGGCAGATGCCACAAATGTGAAAGAGTTTGGAGACACCGTGGTGAATGTTATGCAGCCTGTAACATCAATGAGCATAACTGGTTTTTGGTGGTGGGTCAGTGATTGTATGGGGAGGCATATCCTTGGAGGGCTGCACAGACCTCCATGTTATAGCCAATGGAACCCCGACTGCTGTGAGGTACTGGGATAAAAGCCTCAGAGCGACTGTTGGACCTTATGCTGACACTCCTGGTGCAGGACAATGCTCAGCCTCATGTGGTCAGAGTGTGCAGGCAGTTCCTGGATGATAAAGGCATTGATGCCATTGACTGGTCCTCATGTTCCCCTGACCAAAACCCATTTCAGCATCTGTTGTCAGGAGTGCACACAGGCACACGTGGGCCATACACTTCTGAGTCACATCATGAACTGCTGTGATGAAATTCATAAACTATATACACCGAAGATAATGGATGGATTTTTCTTCATTTTGACTGAACTGTGAATGTGAGATTCAACATAATGTATAACAATATTATTTATGTAGACTTGGGTTTGTTTTATGTTTGTATCACCTTAAAATCACCTATAACACAGGAGTGATACAAAGCAAGCACAACAGTGATTCTACTACATACCGTGTTCCAAAACTATGAGAATTCTGATGAAGCCACCTTGTAAATGGTTTCTTGCATAACCTCTCCATACACCCAAATTTTTGTGAATTTCTAAGTAATTTGTCTGCCGATCGAGACATGTACAGTGGAGGTGACAGCATCAGAATTCATGTCTTGCTGGGAAAAAACAGAGCTTCACACAAGGGTAACAAAATGAGGGTAAGATTGTACAAAAATCTATAATTAGAAAATTCTGGAGAAAAAAGGGGCAAAAGATGTGGCAATAAAATGTATGCAGTTTTTGACATGAAAAACACCAACATACTGACAAATGATGCATACAACAAACAGCTGTTTTGGAGCTTTGATAGAAACTGAAATGTGTACGGGGTGTGACCAGCACAGCTAAGAAGCCAGTAAAAAGCCAACTGTGGGTCACACCTCACAAAGTTAGGAATCTGATGACGCACATAATGACATAGCTGGCTGGCCTCAGCATCCAGTCCTCTTCAATAACAGTGAAATCAGCTGAGACTTAAAAATAGACCATACAATAAGAGTGACATATTCACAGGTGACTGATGCATCCTGTCATTGTGGATAAGTTCCACTTTTAATCTGAACTCTTATAATAGAGACAAAATGGTACAATTGCACAGCGGAATGTCATACTCATTGTAATGGCAGTTCCTCCAAGTGTGATGTTACCTCATCCATTTCCACCGCGATCCCAACTACACCAGAGGCCAGATGTATAATATTCTGTGTAGATTCTTGACTAAAACTGTGTTTATGCACTAAGACAGAGGTGAGCGGTTTCTCAGATTTATAAAGCCACACCCAAGCCTTGTTCAGCTTTATACATCTCAATCCTCGTGGAATTGAGCGGACCTGCGCGACCTTCTTTTCTACTACGACCTTTAGCCACAAATAGATGTGGACACGCCTTTAATCAGTCATTTGCATATAGTAACGGTCTCTGAACCATACGGTATTAGTCATGGCAAACAACGCAACGCTAAAGAAGAAGCGCTATTCCAGTGGGTGTGAAATAGAGACACATGGGGAGGTTGGTCACACAACATTACAGGGAATCAGAAAGCTCTCAAAACACTCCTCACTTGTCAAGATCATCCAGTGACGTCAGAACCAGCCGTCCCTGCGCACGACCAATACACACAGCTACAGCTATTTATAGTGTGTTGTAATTGAAGCGCACACCTGTAAAGGCTTATTGTTACTAGTCATGTCTCAATCATCAATAAACGAAAATGAATTCATAACAGTAATATCAGCAGTTTACCTAATAATTTAAACCTAAAATGAAAAACAGGGAAATTGACGCCAAAAGAAAAAGAAATAAGAAAAATCCATTAGGTCAACATGTTTAAAAATAAACTTTATAAACTGAAATATATGTAAACAGGTAAAAAAAAAATAATGCAAGCTGTTTTAAATGAGCTGTCTCGTCTTGTTTTCCCACTTTACCATATCAAATGAAACCGTGTGTACGCACGAGGTGCGCACATTCTTGTGGCACACTACGCACACCAGTTTATGTATAGGAAAAGGCGTACCTATGGTTTTTGTATGTACCCATCGTTTATCCATCTAGCCCCATGCTAATCACATCTTTTGTAACAGGGACATTAATTTCAATAGAAATGCTACATGCTAATATGCCCATCTATTCTCAGCTTCACAGTGCAGGAAAAGGACGGATGAGCAGGTCAAGTTACTGAAGCACACACTACGGTTTTCCACCATTACTGGAAAGACAAACACACCAGCAGCGAGGACAAGCTAAAGAAGAATACGACCATCGGTCCTGGTAAAAGTGGCTGAACCACAAAAGGATATGTAAAGAAAGAGCTGCTTTGTCCTGGACAGGAACACGGTGCCTGTTTCTGTGGGCAGGACATGGGCTGCTCCCACTCAGAACTTCACAGACATTACACCAAAGGGAAACCACCCAGCGGCATCTAAATACTGTTTGCAAAACACTATTCCTGAATAAGGCAAGACTTAAACTGCAACTTTTAAGAGCATTCTGGTAAACTTTTGGACACAAAAGGTGTGGTTTCAAAAATGAGCATTAGCTCCTTTTGTACAGTATATTAGCTGGTAAGTTATATATTTATGACACACTGAGCAAAATACAAAAGCTATCTAATTTAATACGCGATTATAATTCTGAAAAGGCTGTCGTCACTGTTCAATTAAGAAACATTCGTTTTCATCACAGAAACTCTTCAGTTACACCAAAGGGCTGTGCATCCAGATATTAATTTCTAGTGCCTGTCTTCAGTCTTGGTCTTTTTTTGTTTTGAGCCTGTATCCACACAATAGTTATCTTGCTTAGATTCTCTAAGTTGTGCCATGGCTGTTACAATCTTACAACACCAAAAGATTTTGCTCAAAGGCCTATCTATCAGTATAAGTTATTGTGCAAGGTACAGTATTATGAACTGCAGGTAAACAATAAAAAACGTCTGCTAAGTGTGATGTTGCCTGCAAACTCCCAGGTTTTCCCCCCTTTGGTAAGGAGACACTCTGAACTGTTCAGATGACATCATCCATTACTTGTATGGGGACAACCTGTCCTGTGTTATTATTTACACAAGATCTGGGACTGAGAAATAAAATCTTCTAAAACTTTGTGACACCGGTCATGTGTGTTCTGTGTGTAAACTCCCCTCTATGGACACAAATCAAGGCCTCAATAATGAAAATCATATAAACAACTTAAACTGTGATTGTGAGCACAGGTGTAAAGTAACTACATTCACTCAAATACTCTACATAAGTACAATATGTATCTGCACTTTGCTTGAGTATTTTCATTTGTTGCTATCTCATACTTTAACTTCACTAGATTTCAGAGAAAAATACTGTACTTTGTACTCATTCATCAGATTTTATTGATCCTTGGTGTAAAATTCACAAGCTATGCAAGAGTATGTAAAGTACTTCAACTTATAACCATATAGGGTAGCTAACATAGCTCCCCCATTACCAGCAGCATTAACTGTGACATACATAATAATACATCAATGATTATAATCCAGTAATATGATATACAGTACATTAATGTAAACTTTGCCATTCTGCATAATGAGTACTTTTATTTTTGGTACTTTAATGTTATGTTAATGATTTTGTACTTTTACTTAAGCAACATTATTTAATGCAGGACTTTCAACAGAATATTTTTACACTCTTGTACTGCTGCTTTTACTTAAGCAAACTATCAGAGTACCTCTTCCACCACTGACTGTGAGATTTCAATTTCATAGAGTTTACAGCATCTAAATATTTTACCATTGAAGTGTGGTTTCAGATTCTTTGCAGAAGCTAATCTCAACTGGTGTGTAATAAAAAATGGTACTTTGTTGTTCCTTTGTTTTACTTTTTAGGTTTCACAAATTCAGACAGTGTTAAGTATAAATATTTTTTAAAAACCCCTCATTACAGATCATGACTTTGTATGGACGCGAGTTCAGTTTGACTAAAGAATGATAGCACTGTTTCATTTTAAAGGTTTGTTAAAGGCCCGAAGAGGTGAATAAATCGGTAGTTTCACATAGAAAAACAGAGTTTAAAAAGTCTGGACAAAATAAACACAATTTTGTGTAACTATGGCATATTTTTTCTTTCCCATCATTTTTACTAATGAGCCCTGAGAATTATCTTGAGAGCCCCTGAGTGGTATCGAACACCACACTGAGAATCACTGTTCTATAAGGTGCAGCAAAAACTACTGCCAATATAAAATCAAGAGACAGTTTGTTTTCCTTACTTTAAGTGATCCTCTACCAACGGAAACCGCTTTCACCTCTGGCTCTGCAGCTGTAGATGAGCAGATATCACATTATGTTATGTGAGGAATTGCAGTATTTGAGATGTTAAAAATAAACCAGGAGCAGAATGCAAGACATCTGAAAACAAACTGCGACCAACATTAGCGCCGCCAGGCAGACTGTATGATGACTGAAGCCCAGCGAGAGCCACAACGACCCAGAGTGGAAACTATTATCCTGTCTGAAGCTCAGCCACATTCCGTGTTCTAAAGATTTCATTTAGGTAATAGAAAAGAGGAACCAGAGGAAGATGCAACTGGGTCTATTTCATAAAATATAAGTGGCCTAAACTGAATTTTAACAACTGAAAACTTGGTTCATCACATTGGTTGATTTGGTGAACTCTTATAGGATTATATTAAAAATATGTTATACATTTCAAGTCAAACTGCACATTTCAACCATGTTTTAAAAATACAAACCCAATAGCTCTTTTTTGTCCTCCTCCTTGATTCCAAATGATATAATAATAATAATATATTCCATGTTGCTTTACTAGAAAAATATTTAGAGGATGCATTGGCAGTGTTGATTAACTGTTTCTCATCTTGGATGGACTCTGAAATGCGCAGCCCCTAAAGATTGAAAACGTCCTGTCACCAGATTTCAGAGCTCACCAGTTATTGAACTGAGTCAACAGCACCGTAATTTAAATAGCCTCAGGATATTAAAGACATAAGACTCCAGATTTTTTCTTTTCAGATGACCACAAGTCACAGAAACAACAGTGGCTTTGATATAGGTGTTTTGTTGCTATCATGATGTCATTTTTATTACCACAAAGGACAGCAAAGGCAAACACAGATAAGATGACATACTGTAACACAAACAGTTCATCTGCAGACACAGTGCATTCTGATGCAAAGAGAAGATGCCCAGCAGTAAATAAAGTCAAGGGTAAGTGCTTAGCTGTCACTCCCTCAGAACAAAATGAAAGCCGCTTATAAGAATAAGTGGCTAACCATTACACTAACCATTCTGTCCTGATGTTCAACAATCACACAAAGGAAAATCCATCACAGAAAAACTTCTCTGCTGACAGGTATCTCATTAGTCCAGAATGCAATGCTTCCTAAGGTAAGAATAATATTTCAGGAAATGGTAACTCTCCCTGCTCTTTGCCTTGAACACCCCCACTGTTATGCATATTCATGTTAACTGCTTAAACAGCTCATTCTCTGGAGACAAGTATAAAGAGAAATAGCATGCACACCATTAGAGTGGATGAGGGAATTGGGAAAAGTCTCTTAAAGGACTCTTTATTAAATGACTCCTTATCAGCTAATTGACAAGACAAACTGCCTGGTTTGGCCATACACTGCCATCTAGTGCAGTTATTTGTGATTACCAAAGCAACAGTGTCTGGCTGCAACATGTTTACTTTTATTCTGGCTTTTATGCTACTTTTTCATCTCCATCTCCACATCTGTTCTTCAGTTCTCAGCCCAGGGTGGAGAAAAGCTACATTTCCCAGAGGCCTGATGCACAAGCACTCTGGTGTTTTAATATAACTCAAAGAGCCGCTGGGGAAGCTGGATGCCTATTCTTCTTTCCACTTTGAGTGAACAAATGTGACTTGGTGCACAGGCACATACAGAATAGGAATCTGTCACATTTTAAATAATGGCCAGCAAATTTAGACTGCAAAAGGCATAGGATTCTGCAAGACAGAGGCAAGTTGGAGCTATAAAAATGCTAAGAGGTCGAATAAATATCTATTCTGCACAGAAATCGGTTAGTGAAAAATAGGAAAGCAGAAAATCTTTTGCACAAATATGTCCAGTTCATGTTGACTCCAGTGATGTATGCTGCCAGACACTGTCTTAATTAACTTAGACAGGCTGCAGGACTATTGTAGAACCACCAAAGCTAACCTTAATAGGAAGCAGAGAGTCTTCTTTGAACTAATTGTTGTCAGTGTTAGAGGCTGCAGCAACTTCATTCAGCAACAGTCGTCTTCACCAAAATTAATAACTGACCCTTTCATTTGCAGACAGGCTACAGACTATTTGATGATAGCTCATGTTGATGGGAAAGGTAAACTCACCAGAACCACAAATTAGGGAGTGACAAACTCATCCATCACCGTTGCCGGGGTGACAGTATCCAAATACGTGCTGTAACCTGGAAACAGTGTCTAAACAAATGGCCCTCGGCTAGCGCACTGGGTCGTCTGGCTGGATTCAAGATGAGCCGACCAGGCAGTAGGCTTTATAAAAAAGGGGTCAACCAAAATGAAGACCCAGGAGCTCATATGTTTACCGGTACTACACACACCGCGGCAACAGCGAGTCCCGAAACAAGGCTACTGTTCACTTTGGAGAAGGACGCTCAGGACAGGAAAGTTCACCTGACAGGGAAAGGTGAGTCCGCTCGGTTTTCATCCTGTCCAAACCGGAAGCCTGAGGAGAGAGAGTGGTTTTCTGATTAGTAAAGAGAACATTTCACTGGGTTCTTATAGACCTTTGGTTTGGTCGTAAAAATGACGCTAATGTCAGAATATGCGGTCAAAGGCTTGAGAAACCTTTTATAATAACGTGCCTTTCTTGGGACTACAAAACTCTGTAAAACAGCATGAATAATGTAGGGCAGCTTCCACAGTAAGAAGCTATGACAGACTTCAGACTTACCAGCGTTAAATGGGAGCACAAGACTTAAATCTAAGTTACAGACGCCATTCACAGGGGCTCTGCTTGATGTGTTAATCTTAAATATTTTAATTGAGGGCTCACAGTGAACCACAGAATTTTAGTAAAATCAGTAATAGTAGTACTACTCGAATTATGAAGCAGCAGCTCCAGGATTTGTGGAGAATCAGGGACAATATGTGCCTGTGAGATTTCACCCACAGAATATGTTGGTGAAGGCAGGAGGCTGGGTTTCTCTTCTGCATAATCACCTACAGCTAAAGGCTCTGGTATGGACATGAGTGTTGAAATACCCGCAAACAAACTCAATTCTAAAATCCTTTTACACTTTATTCTCTTCTTAATGGTGCAATAAATCTTTTTCTCAATTGTTGCTGTGCAGTGCAGTATTGCTTTCATTATCCATTTTACTTGTCTGTTGCTTGTTTGTTTCTAGATGACATGAGAACTACAAAGCACACATTAAAATGGAAATGCACATATTTAATAAACAGGGTGAGCTCAGTTAGACAGCCTTCCCTCATTGTGACTTTTCTTTTCCTTTTTCAATTAATTTCCTATCTTAATGATGTTTTCAACGCTTTTTGTTGGATGACAAACCTGTTGCAATGTCTTTTACAGAGTACTACAGCGAGGAAGGGAAAACTTTTGAATTACATCTTACTGGGAAAATAAAGCAACAGTTAAGTGCTGATCCCACTCTTCGTCCTGAATATCTGTCTTCTCTCGGCCTGACAAAATTCACCCAGCGAGCCACAGAGGTGGCTCTGGGGAAGAGATCCCAGGCTATATTGGAGAACCGGGTAACCTCAGCTGTATACAATGTATATGCTGTAATTGCATACTGTAGGTCTACAGTGCAGTTGCACAGCAACAAACACAAAGAGATAAAATAGAGTAGTTATCAAATTAATGATCACTATCATTACTGTGCTATACTGTACTGTAATTATACAGTCATTGATTTACATCCAGCTTATGTCTCAGAATAAATCATTACAAGATCATTACCCAAGTGTTTCAGCATAACTCATGTTTTCTGGTATTTCCTGACTTTTCTTTCAGGTGTTAGGTGTCCACACTCCTGGTTTTACTGCAGCCATGCGTCTGGGGGCTGAACTCTTGAGACACTGGTACGATGTCAATGCAGCTTGGTGCGGGCCGGTCTATCTCTCTTCCCCTTGCGATGGTAAGTTAAACCTCACTTCCTCTGAATTCTGCATTTACCTTTAACTTATACTGTCAAGAAGACTTGTGGATGACTTACGTGAACCACAAATAACGTGCAAAAACCACTGGCAAACAACAGACAACAACTGCATCCATAGCAACATGATTTACTGTGACAATGCAATTTCTGAGAGCACTTAGTGAAAGATGTAAATAAAAAAATGAGCGCACAAAAACGACAAAATGGGAAGGACTGCATTTCAGAAAAGGCACAGACAGATGATACCTGGTTATAAATACACACAGACCTTTGGCAGACATGCACTGAAAGAATTTGACACAGCATACTCATGTTATTTTTTCAGGTGCATACGATTTCATGGAAATTTGGAGATGAAGGAAATCTGTGAATGGGAAACAAATACATACAAGGCACATGCAGCTCAGAGTAGAGATTAAAAAGTTGAGTGATTCTATAACAAAAAAACCCATCATAAAGTGAAAAAAGAGGACAAAACACGTAACATTATTCACTCACAGCAGTGGCATCGTAGTGCAATTACATCCTGGGGTTTGAATCGGCATTGATCTTGAGGAGTTTGTACTGCTTTAGATGTCTGTTATAATGCTTTATCTTCATCCTCCCTGCAGACTCATTGGCTGGTATCTTCCAAGCTGCAGGGATCCAAGATATCCGTGAGTATTATTACTGGGATGACAAGCAGCGGGATATTTGTTTGGACAAGCTTCTGGAGGATCTGGAGACAGCTCCTGAACAGAGTGTTGTTGTCCTGGCAGCATCTGCCCACTGCCCAACTGGAGCAGACCTCTCTCAGAATCAATGGGCTGTGATTACACAGCTCATCTTGGTAAATGATGTGTATATTTATGGTTTTTAACAGACGCTAAAATTATTAGTAGCAATAATCATTTGCTGTCTCGGCACGGTTTCAACAGAGACGTAGGCTTTTCCCTTTCCTCATGCTGCCTGCTCAGGCTCTCTGCTATGGAGATTTGGAGCGGGATGCCTGGCCTGTACAACTCTGTGCCTCGAATGGGATAGAGCTCCTCTGTGCTCAGTCGTTCTCCCACTGCTTTGGACTTTATGGTGAGAAAGTGATGCTCAGAAAATCTGTTATTTCAAAGATTTATGTGTGTCACATATATGGCCAAAGAGACTCCTTGTCAAGATGAGCCTACAGTATGAATTAAGACTGGAACTTGTGATGTCAAATCAACACAAAACAGTTCTGCTGTCAAAACAAAATACAACCAGCCAATATAAATTCAATTTTCATTTCTTTTGTGTAGTCAGATAGAGCTAGTCCCTCATACAATAGACAAGAACAATTGTGTATTCATGTTTGTCTTACTCATATTCGACAGAAAAAAACATGCTCATAGTATCAAAGGAGTCACAGTCGTGTCTGTTTCTTTCCAATGTCTCTCTTTCCCAAGGGCACTGTAGTCTCATCAGGTAACTCACTGTGATGCACATTTGCTTTTTGCTTGTTTCCATACTGTATGAGCTGGTGAATATTTATTCACCCAGCTATTAATACAGACGTGTCCCTCTTCCACTTCTTTTTGGCACCAGCATTATAAAGTGAGAGAGCAACATTACATTACTATTGCTGAAACGTACCCCGGGTTCCTTTCCTTCAGACCCAGGTTTTCTTTCCCTCATCAGGTGAGGCTGTGGGACACCTGCTGTGCGTCTTAAAGCACAACTCGCTCCTGTTGTCTGTGCAGTCTCAAGCTGACAAAATAGTCAAATCACTGTGGTCCCAGCCGTCTGTAGGAGGAGCACGCGTTGTTGCCACAGTGCTCAGTAATCCAGCCCATCTTGTTGAATGGTGAGTCACATCGTTTTTGGTATTTACAGTAAATAGTACTACTACGGTATGAGCAGATGTCCATAGTGATGACTAGACTGTTCTGGGCATTCCATGATGCAAGGCTTCAAAAAGCTGAGCTGGCAGCGCAATAGTTTAACACAATCTATCATTTACAAAATGCACATTCTTCCCATGGGATCTTTTGTGATTTTGCAGATATTAAATCATATTATTTACCAAACGTTGTGTTTCTCAGGCAGGGAGAAGTGAAGCACATTGTTGAGAGATGTATGCTCATTAGAGAGGTTCTGAGAGAAAGGCTGAGGCTTTTGGGAACTCCAGGTTGCTGGGACCACCTGACTCAACAACGTGGACTCTACTGCTGTATGGGCTTGAACGGTGAGGAGCAAACTGCACAGTTTCTTGTTGGACATTTGTAGAGGTCATTTTCTAATCATTTAGAACAGAAAATGACTCACAACACAAGCCTCTGACTATACGACAAAATACTGTCTGATAGTCATAATTATTGTTCTGAACTGGTATTTAGAGTACATATTTTCAGAATCACTGTTTTGATCTGTGTCAATGCCTGACATCCTGGCTTTGGTTGAATATAACATGCAATTAGTGTACTTAATACATAGTTATGAAGCTAGTTAAAAACTGTAGACATACATGCCTCAGTGTTTTACTGAACCTTTACACTCCCCGTTTGATCATTAAACAGTAGCATTCATTGCTAACGAAATGATTTTCCAGATGGATATTTTATTTAAAACACCACTGGTATTCCAGAATAAAGCAACCCATGATAGTATCACACATGCTGATGTGCATTAACTGTATTCTATGTGTTTTCTGGCTTGCTTTAGGTCAGCAGGTAGAATTTCTGTCAAAGTGGAGACATGTGTACCTCCTTCCCAGCGGCTGTCTGAACGTGAGCGCAATCAACGGGCGCAACCTGAGTTATGTGGCCGAGTCCATCCATCTGGCCCTGACCACTTCACTCTGACCATGTGGCTTTGGTTCAAGATGTGAAATCAAAGTGGCCTTTCAGCCCCAGTGAAAAACATTCAAATGCTAAGTTTCAAATGTACTCTAATTGTTTTCCCAGCTGTTGCAAAGTAAATGCAGTTAAGCATGTGAAAAAAAATGGAGAGGAGAACATGATTTCTTATTGAATAGCAACTAACTTTTCATGACAATGGTTCAGCCATGAGTAACTGTAAGAGAGATGGGCTGACATGGCTAAGATACATGTCCCTGTGTGTTATACAGTAGGTCAGACATATTCGCTGGTGGAAGAAGTACTCAGAACGTGCAGAATGATCTGCTTTAGAATTTAGATTATGTTATTGGATGGTATTTCTTCATTAATGTGTACATTACTGTTTTAGCTAGTAACGGCTGGGCTAATTGTAATTACTTTATATACTGCTGGGTAACTTTTGAATGGTTATCAATAAAGTCTTATCTGAGCCTATAATAATAATAATAATATCGATTTATTCATTATTCTGTATGTTGTATTAATAATCTCAATCTATAAAGTAGCTAACTTAATTTATCAATAAATTTAGTGCATTAAAAATTCTGTATTTACCTCTGAATTGAAGTGCATTATTATAAAGTGACACAAACTTGAAATATTCAGTTAAATTACTTCAAAATTACCTAAGCATAGTACTTGAGTACTTTTCACCACTGGTGATATTCACAAAATGTCAAATTATTCCTTTAAGCATATAGTATAGGACGACATTTGTATTATCTGTGGCCTGAGAGTAACCTTTAGAGGGATACCAATAAATAAATTAACTTTTACTTAAAACATTTCATTTCAAGATTAATTTTCTTAATGCTACAGGTTTAACGAACACTTCCCACAGAGTAACTTTTCATTTGTTTTCAAGAATTTAATTGCAGTGGATTACTTTTGGACCTTTATTATCACATGGTTCTTATACAGTATTTTAGGAGAATTTCCTTTTCATCAAACTAGAAAACATTTCTAAATGATGTGCATGTGGTAAACAGCAAATGATTGTCTGGATACATTAATGAGTAATGCTCTTCCTTGAGATGCACACCTACGTATGTGGAAGTGATGAAGCTATACAAAAATGAGTACTTTCTTATTTTATTAAAAAAAATATATACTTTTTTGGCAAACATACAGCTTTTATCCTTGCAAGCCCTCCGTTCATTTGTGAGATGTGATGTGCCACTATTGTGACTGTATGTTGTGTAGTTCTGAGAAACAGGTTGCAACAAGGTATTTAATGGATGGAATTTAATTGCAGTGGATTACTTTTGGACCTTTATTATCACATGGTTCTTATACAGTATTTTAGGAGAATTTCCTTTTCATCAAACTAGAAAACATTTCTAAATGATGTGCATGTGGTAAACAGCAAATGATTGTCTGGATACATTAATGAGTAATGCTCTTCCTTGAGATGCACACCTACGTATGTGGAAGTGATGAAGCTATACAAAAATGAGTACTTTCTTATTTTATTAAAAAAAATATATACTTTTTTGGCAAACATACAGCTTTTATCCTTGCAAGCCCTCCGTTCATTTGTGAGATGTGATGTGCCACTATTGTGACTGTATGTTGTGTAGTTCTGAGAAACAGGTTGCAACAAGGTATTTAATGGATGGAGGTAGTGTGCTCATTCTTTTCATTTCAGTGACCTTAGGTGAACAACGAGGATAATCAACATCCACCATCATACAGACTCTGAGTCATTAGACTCTGGAGCCCTTTGATTCTCATCTGTACGCTTACATGTGCGTAGTGTTGATAGAAACCCCCTCACATTACAGGTTTCAAGTTGGGGATAAGTTGTTGACACACATCCTAATATCCCATGCCCAGCATGCATGAGTGAAGAGGATTGCCTAAATATAAATATTACCATGGAAACTGAACTTTCAGGAACACAGGGATCATTTTGGCTTTTAACTAACAAGATTGAGCCACTGCTTTGTTTAATGAGTATCCTAATATTTATGAATATAAAGGTGCAGCTGAACAGTGTTTCCAAAACTAAATTCTCAAACACTGCACATTCATGCATCTTTTAAACACTGATCAGAAGCCGATATTCATGATTTGGGGGAAGCACAGAGGCATTTTGAGTATGGATACTGTCAAATTATATAGGCCAACTTGTGACCCCAAAACAAACTTGGTGTTGCCAGGTTATAGAAATTCTACTGTATTGGCTGGTGTTTATGTTTTCACCAAGTCTGCAGTTACTGTATGAATACTAATAAGTCAAAAGGTTTACAACAACCTACTATCTATAATCAATCAATTAAAGTGATTTTTCAGCAAACTAAAAGTTCTTATCAATGGCTTATAAATAACTGATCTATGAAGCATTTGTAAATGTATGAACAAACCATGAATAAAACCATTTAGTCATTAGAAGCCATATGCTCATTTTGAGTCACGCTAGCAGCAGGCTCCAGGGATGGTACTGTCAGTCTGCTGGTCAGTCGCTACATCACTGTGGTCCAGAGTAAATGTCTTAACAAAACAACTGAAATACTGCCATTATCAAGTGAATGCTGCATTTGTTTACAGTTAATTAGTGCTTAATGACATCCCCATCAACCTCAGATGCACCTTGTTCACTTTTGTTTATTAGAAAATGTCAGCATTCTCACACACTAAAGCAAGATTGTGAACATGATAAGCATTTTACTTGCTAGCATGGCATCAGCATATTAGCATTGTCATAGTGACCATGTTAATTACTGGCATTAATATTAGTGCTAGCGACTCTACGGGTAAATCCACTCCTTCCTCGTTGCTCCAGTCTGCCACCTTATA